TACCTCCTTCTAAATAACTTTTCTTACTGAACAATGTTTTAGATGCTTATATATATGAGCAAGATGGATGTCAAGATGCCCCAAAATCTTTTTTGTTGGCCATTTGAATACTGACTCTGTCCATACAGAGAGGTTGCTATTAGGTCAGTCATCCTAGGGGTATTATTTACTTTATAGAGTCTGCATTAAGGGGGGGGGAATTCTTATTTAAAGAGAAGACAGCTTAGAACATGTCCTTTCCAGAAGTGACCAAGTGTAATTCTTTAAAATGCTGACCTTTTTATGAACTTCTCCAGAGTGTCAGGTGCTGAGTTCCCTGAAACTAATCAGTGGAACAAAGCTGATAAGATTTTATGTCCTTCTTACTTACCCTCCGGTTTTCTTTTTGTCTTTCTTTTGGTAAACAGGTGTAGAACTGAGTGTTAAAGACTTGAGACTTTGGTCTGTGTTCTCAAATAATATTTCCCAATATGGGAGGCAGGTGAAGTGCAGAGGGTAATCCCAGGATACCTCCTGGACTATCAAAGAGGTAGAAAGGAGGCCTAGACTAAAAAAGATGGAAGCACTGATCAAAAGATTTTTGGTACCTTGGATCCCATGACTTTTTAAATCCACTAGTTGTGATTCCGTCCATCCAGTCTGCTAATTCTGCTGATTGTACAACAATATGTAAATTACAAAAAAATAGTAATAGGAAAGGAAGCTGAATTTAACTATTAGAATGGGAAAAGCTGACCTTGAAGCTTTGTTAGGCAGCTTAGTTGTTTTTCAGTGACCTAAGAAGGTCTGACTGGATACCATGTGGCATTCAGAGACATAGAGAATTGAGTTCTCTTTTGCTATGTTAACTGGAAGAAAAATACAAAGTATTGAGAAGCTGTTATTGCCACTTCAAAAAAATAAATGAAATTTTCTTTTCCAGAGCGGAAGCCTCCTTTGACAACTGCAGTTTCAATGGGAGAACCAGAGCAATCTACTACTGTGGACTCAGTAGATATGCCAAAGGTCCAGATTCCTCCCCCTGCTCATCCTGCCCCAGTACATCAACCTCCTCCTCTGCCACATCGTCCCCCGCCCCCACCCCCCACCAGTTATATTACAGGGATGTCTACTACAAATTCTTACATGTCAGGGGAGGGTTATCAAAGTCTTCAGTCAATGATGAAAACAGAAGGACCAACATATGGAGCTTTACCACCGGCCTATGGACCACCAACTCATCTACCATATCATCCTCATGTCTATCCTCCCAACCCTCCACCACCAGTTCCACCTCCTCCCCCTGCTTCTTTCCCCCCACCCAATATTCCACCTCCTACTCCTGGATATCCTCCTCCACCTACATACAATCCTAATTTCCCACCTCCAAGACTGCCTCCAACTCATGCAGTACCACCTCATCCACCTCCAGGGCTGGGAATGCCACCAGCTAGTTACCCCCCGCCTACTGTTCCCCCAGGTGGACAGCCACCTGTCCCACCTCCAATTCCACCACCTGGTATGCCACCTGTAGCAGGACTGGGACGTGCTACGTGGATGAGATAGCATGAGGTAATTTGCACGATACCTCTATGTTGACTAGGCAGGAGTAGCTAGCCAAAACCTACATTGTAAAGATGAAGAGGAGGGTAATCTGTATAATTTAGATGAAGAAATGAGAGTAAATGAAAATTTAGCTGATCTGTTTGCAGTATTGTTTATGGTGAGTTATATAGGCTTTTAGATTTTAATCAGCTTTGCAGTATCTATTCTAACTTTATACATTTGACTTAAGTTTAAATTGTCTTGACTTATTCCAGCACTGGATTACTTTGTACTAGCAAAACCAGCCATATTGGCTCAATTATATCAGTAAGAAGAAAATTTCCTTCTAGAAATCAGTGCCTATTTTTGAGTATCAAAATAGCCAGATACCATGATATGTGATCTATAATAAGAAACTTCATTTTTAGTAATAATTAAAAGAACATGATGTCAAGCATGAAAGCTGCTTTATTTAAGGGAGATTCTGAATGCTAGCTGACTGGAATAATTTTGAGGTGTTTGCCTTGCTGATAGTTTTGGTTTGGAATGTACTGGTATCTTAAAATATTGTATGTTTACACCTATTTGCAAATTCCTGTACATAATATATATATTTTCTAAGTGTTGAAGTCTGAATGTAACAGCCTACTGTGATGTACATCATAGTTATAAATGGGACTACTTTGTTCACTCTACCCAAATAAAATTGGTTCTGAATTTAGTGGATTTCCAGATTCTTCATATTAGTTCAGAATTCACAACTGTGGTACTTACTGCAAGATATTTCAGCAGTGGTCTCCCAAATCTTATTCATCAGTTTATTTAAAAAGAATGTATTTTATTTTATTCAGCTAGAAGTATACACTATCACAATCAATTTCTTACTTCATTTTTACTAAAATATTTCAAATGAATGTTTTACACACATTATCAAAAAAATCTGTACTATTACTTTCCCTCCCCAAAAAAGCCAGAGTGGTTCAATAATAGGTAAAAACGCGTGCTAAGGTCTAAAGAATTTTGCTATATACACAACAGCAGGTGCTAACTTTTCCAGTTCATTGTAATTCATATACAGAAAATATAGCAGGGCTGTAAGATCACAGGTTTAACAGAAATCAAACTTTAAACTGATTTCTAAAGCAGCACAAATAGACTTTCCCCACATTATGAAAAATATACAATTTTATCACTTTACAGTCATGCACTTTGAAAAAGATCAGTAGTACTCTTCCCCCACAGTTTCTAGAAAGATAAAAGGTCACTTTAACACTGATTTCTTTTAATATCTAATATTTGGATAAAAATGTGCCATTCTCAAACAAGGTTGTGCTCGGCAGTCTTATCAAGGTGCGAAGAGCCAACTGAAGCTGGTTACACTGCAGCATTTCAGGAACTGTTAGGAAAATGCTGCTTACTTCAGTCACTCCAACAAAAGTCAAGGATGTGATTTTACTTTTCTTAAGCAAGCAAAGTCCTTTTGTAAACAGTGGATGCTTTCTTTGCCAGAGGATTGCAGAACCCAGGGCTTCAATCTTGAGGAAATTATCTTGGGCTATTGTGCCAAATATATCAATTTAATGGCCACTATTTCAAGGGATGCTCTCCTCCAACTTAATGTACAAAGCTCCTCAGGTAGTTTTCACTGGAGACTTAGCACATAGTGAATTTAAATATGCTTATAAAATACCTTTTTAAACAGCTGAAAATTCAGCACCCAAGTCATCCCGTAAAGTCATTGATCATCATTTTACCCCAGGAAGACACTTTATAGCTCAAATAGAGCTAAGTATGATGAGTAGCAAGCCTAAAAACCTCCGAACAGTAACACCCCAAGGTACAGCACTGTTGTGTTCTTCTGCAAATTCAGTGATGCACATCTTATATTGAAGATGATGCTGCCAAATAGAATCTTAAAAAATCAATGGGCGGTACCCTAAGTATAAAGGTTGTTCAGATGAATTGCTGGCTACCCTGTAAACTGGCTCTCCAGGATTACTGAATTGACCTCAATCGCAGCACTGTTTCCCCTGTAGGTGAGATCTGCAGGTAGAACAAAACAAGCTTTGCTTGAAGTCATTGAATAGACTTTGAGAGAAATTTGATAGCAGGAAATATATGAATGGGAATTACATAGCTGGTGAGACCAGTAGTCTGATTAATGTAGCTCTTCTCTTGTTGAGAGGACCTGCTAGCCTAATATACCCCTTAAACAGCAAGCATGTCATCAACACAGTTAACTCTCTTCACGTGCTGGCAACATTTGCGTTGCTTTAGTTAAAATTCACTGACAGAAATTAACCTTGTTCCAAATAAATTCTCTGCTTAATCCAGTGATTAGATGCCATCAAAATTAAAATGGGCTTTCAAGCAGATAGATTAAAGTAACCCTGTTTGACATTAGATGTTAAGAAAGAATGATGCCTCTGCTTTGCATCACCTTTTCTGGTATGGAAATCTCAAGGTACAAATTGTACAGCAGGAAGACAAGTAATTGTCAATGGTGACTAGAAACTGGAGGTCAAAACAGAAAGCAAAGATGGGGAAATCCAGAATCCTCTAAAGTTCCTGTGCCTTAAGGACACAGTCAGACTCTAGAATGGATTTTTCCAGACTCCATGGGATGTAAATACCATTGGACTGAGAGCTAGCTAGCTCAGTGTTCACTGACTGAGCAATAGTAAGAAATCTACTGGTGAGCGTGTGAGTGAGAATATGCGCTTGCGTTTCGGGGGTGGCTCTTGGTTGTTTTTAAATAACCTACTTGACTGTTACATTTTTATTTCTGCAATGAATAATGACATGGTTCTTACTCTTATGGGTTACTGTGTATTTCGGTTGTATTCCTTCTCTATTTTTTTTACTGGTTACAGGTTTCGGCTCTGACACTGCAAATTCTTCACCCAGGCAGCTAGTTTATTGTACGCCATAGGACCAATTACCTTTCATAAGTTGCAGCATGGGCTCCTTGGTATTGTATCGGTGCTCCTTGTTAATACAATACCACAAGTCAAGAACTCAACTGGTAGAACAAATTAATTTAAGAGGAAGAACCTGTCCAGCTAATTCAGCTGTCTGTAGCTGTGACTGATTCTTACAGAGAATAAAAGGAAAGGAATGGTGTTTGAGGTCATTACATCTTCAAAATAATCACTAAAATCAATGCAACTTTTGAAGAGGAGGCTTTGATCTTTTCACATGCCTGTCTTTAAAATTATGTTACAGAAATGAGTTCTAATAACGAAGCCCCGCTTCCTTGGACTATTGGGAAAGAACATCTAATGAAATACAGGGACAGCTGCTGTGACAACTTGGAAAAGGAGGGAGTCAAATTCTTACAACTACACAGGCAGCTACTCCACAATAGCAAAATATAAGTCCTATTGTTTTATATACAACCATTTGAAGAAGGAAAAACTCACTTGTTTTGGTTCATTCACAAAAATAAAGCTTGAATGGCAGGAAGCAGTCTCACCTGACAGCCCGTGTTTATGGAGTTTTTATTCAGCTCTGCAAGGTTGTTGTTTGGTTACCTTACACAGGAACCAGTATAGGTGAGGGATCCAGCAAGAACATTAAAAAAACCCACCCAAATCTTCCTTATGTGAAAGATGAGCTGCTCTTGAAGATCCTGTGAAAGCCATAAGCACTGCTAGGATGGCAGTTTCTGCTGAATTACTTTGTAGTGAAAGCTTTACAGGAAAAGTGTTGCCATATTTGTAGGGAATACTGGTGTGTGGCTAAATGACTTCATTCACATTACAACTGCAGAAATCTTGTGTCATTTGTTCATGAAAAATAGTTCATTAACAGCTGATACAGAGTCTCAAGCTTTTCTGTACGCTTGTGTGATGAGCACCACCATACAAAGTATGGTGGTGCAAGTGTTTTTAGCTTGCCACTCAATGTTTTACACAGAGCCTTGTGAAAACAGTTGCATGTCATTCTTCAAAAGAAGGACCTCCAAAAAAAGTGTTAGCAGCTCATGAACTTGGCAGGCAGTAAGTAAGCCAATGAATTTGACTTGCATTTTCCTTGGAAAGTGCTGCCTGGAGCCACTAACCCAGCTATGAATCACTGACAAGTGGGTGGACAGGAGCAGTACAAATGGTGACTTCTCCGCAGGTCAAGGGTTCTTCTTGTTCCTCTTAGAAATTCTCTGGAGTTAGTTAATTCTACAAACAGACCATTACAACAAAGCAGATTTGGACTACAATACAAATGATGCAAGTCTGGCATTATTGGATGGTTACCCATTGAACAGTAGTTCCAGAGCACCACAGCCTGGAAATCAGGCCTTTAGCTGCCATATTTACACTATTGTTACAAAAAAAAGCTGGGAAAAAAAAAAAAAAAAAAGAAGAAAAAGGAAACCCTGAAAAAAACTCAACCCCAAATCCTAAAGAACAGGCAGCCAGAAACACTGAGCTCTGCCTCTTTAGTCTTCACAGAATCCATCACTTCCAGTCACCAGGATGGTGTTCCTACAAGGGACCCTTGAACTGGTTTCCTGACAGATGTTGCCTGATGGAGGGTTTGGAGCTCGCAGCATCACCCAGCTTTCGCCAGACAACCTGTAAGAAAAAATAAAGTCATGGGGGAGAGAAGACAGGGATTAAAAAACCCCAAACATCAAAGCCTCTGAGGAATTGCAGTATTTTTTTAATTGCAATTGAAGTCAAAACCAGCCCTTTCCTGGATCTGGGCTGCAATTCTCAGCAGGGACACTGGATGGCATCTGTGCACCACTTTCCAAGAAAAGAAACCATTGATGCATTTTTCTAATTAGTCCCTCTTGAAATTAGAACCGTTTTTGCCTGGGGTAATAGTATAAAACAAATACACTAGATTCAGAAGTTAAGTTCAATGGAAGGTCAACCCTGCCATGCTCACAGAAAAGATGCTACCATGAACAGAAAAGATAATGAAAAAGATAATGATTAAAATTATATACACATGACTTTCTAAAAACATACATTTTATCCCTCTAGGGCCACTGGGGTAAGGGAGACTATTTAAAAAAAAAAACAAACTGCAAAACACTGCCTTGAATCTACATAAAATGAATATTTAAAGAAAAAACAGCTGATGAGAGACAAATAGAAACGAGTCAATTCTGGAGGATGAAGTTATGGTATTTTACCTTTCCCCTAGCATAGCTATAAGGGACTGTGGCATCAATATCCTAAAAAGCAGGCTTTCATTTACTCTGCTTATAGGGATCCAGCAACCAAAGTGAAGTGCCTCCGCCCTTGCCAAGGATGCTCGGAGTGATTTAGCTCTGCAAGATGCACTTGTGTTCTTTCTACCCTCCTTTTAGGATTGAGGTGTATTTCAGAATTTAAAACAGAGCATTAGGCTCCTCTCAGCTGCTGGGAGGCACTAAATGATGCCACTTGGGCTGACCTCCAGCGTGGGCTTTAAAAAAAGAAGGCTCATAAGCATCATCCTCCCTGCTGTGGGCAGTTGAACAGCACATCCCCAACTGTAGGCATCGTGCAGCTCGGGCTGTGCTCTAGCAGAAATCCCAAACTCTTTGTTCAAAGCCAGAGCGTGGCCAAGGTGCTTTGAGGCTGGAGGCAATGCCACGACAGCAGACACCCAGCAGACACCTCAGAGCAGTGGTTTGGTACAAACACCATACAGGATGTGGCCAGCTCAGTTAACAGTGTGGTTGCCCAAAACATTGGCAGTGCTAATAGCACCCCACGTATCATAACAAGAAAATTCTCCCTCTGATGTTATCTTATGGTTTAGGCTCAAACCCATTCAAGCTGTTCGGCTTTAAAGATGGCAATCAATTGCTGCTTGGCCCAAACCACATCCCTAACGGCACAGGTGGAGACAACTGCTAAGAGGACTCTCCTAGCCAGGGAGAGCCCCGTGCACATCTCTCGGTCAGCTACAAGAGCTACTCCACAGCCTTGAAGGCAGCAAAGTGGGAACTATCTGCTGAGCAAAGGCTGCTCCGTGCAGTGAACAAGGCATTCATGTTACAGACACCCAAAACAGTGGTCAGCAGAGCCTCCACTCTTCCCTTGTGCCTGTAGGCCTCACAAGGCTTACACACAGCAGATCCCTGCTCCTCCATACTTCTAACAAATGACCACAAAAGGAACCCCAAGAGTTGCTGAGAGGAGTTATTACATTGCACATTTCACGAACAATCGCCTTCTCCTTTTCACTTAGGTCTTCTTCATAATTGTCTTGCATTTGCCTGTCCAGATTTTCATGGACCTCAAGGACCTACAAAAAAACAATATTAAAAAAGCATTATGATCCTCAAATAATTATTTGTGTCCCTGAGAACACCATTAACAAGTATTTAAACTGGCAGGATTCACAAAGCCTCAAGATGAGCAAAGACGAGCGTGACACCAAGCTCAGCACCTCCATCCTCCCTGTTCCCCTGCGATGTCCTGCCTCTGTCCCACCACCTGCATGTTGTTGCTGCTGCCACAGTCCTGGGGGACCATGTGACAATTGGCAGCAAATTGCCTGTGTCCACAAGCACATCTCTTCCAGGAAGGCTGCTGGTAGCCCCACGTTCCAGGCAGCTCCCCAACAAGGCAGCCCCCCAGCGATTTGTGCTCCCTCCTTTCCTGTCTTTCACAGGAGTAGGGCTACTCTACTCCCTCCTACTAATCCAAGTCATGGGGCAACTGCAGTGAGCCCAGGCCAGCAGCCTTTAGGTCTGACGGTGTTTTGGCCTTCAGGGAAAGAAGGGAACAAAGGTTTGTACCACTGAAAATCCCACTGTGCAGCTGAAGTGTGTGGTCTTCGATCAGCCACGAATTTGCAGATCTTAAACAAACATGGCTAATTTCACTCACCTTTTGGCTGAAAATTGTTTCTAACTCAGTTTCTCAAGGGAACCCCTTGGAGGCCCACAGTGACAGCAAGAGTTGGGCTGTTATAATAGAACCCTCGGACCCTGAGATGCCTATGTGATTCCCAGCTCTTTCCCACTCCCCCTTTGAACTGGTTGCAGCCAGGCTGTGAAGGGGACGGAAACAGGATGGGGAAAAAAACTACTGCCTCCCAGGCCCCTGCGTGATGACTGCAGCTCTCTGAAGGTGCCATCCCCATTAAGTGCCAGGATGATTCCGGGCCACCATCTCCTTATGCCACGGGTACCCTCTGAAGATGGAGCTGATCACTTCAACACCCTGAGCTTTACTTGAATCTCCATCAGCACCACTTCCACTCACAATGCACACATGTAAAGGTAAGGGCCTTGGCCAGAGCTGGCACATGAGTGCATTGCCTGCACACACCCCTCCACCCAGGATTGCAGACACAGCTACGGAGTAACACCAGCTGCTCAGTGAGTTCATCTGGTGCAAATACTGATGACCCCAGACTGCACCCACAGTGGTGATGCCAGGCACATGCCTGAAGCACCCTACCCACAGGAGACTCTAGGGGAACGAGGTATCACTTTTCCCTCCTGCTCGTGACTATGGGGCTTTTCCCATTATATTCATAAGATGAAAGCACTGCGAAAAAATGGAGACTTGGCTGTAAAGGACAGGAAAACCTTGAAAGGGAGCGAGAGAAGGATTTGAGACTCTCCAAGGGGGCTCCACTCTGTGGCTCGGAGGGCATCTCCACTGGGCACTCCCAGATCTGGGAAGAAGCAGGTTTCCTTGAAGAGGTAGAGAGGTGACAGCTGCAGTAGTGACATGCCAGAGTGACACATCCAGTGCTCATGTTTGTGAGCTCCTGCATGCCACTCAGCCTGGTGGCTGGGCCACACCTGCAGATTTACTTTGGGAAGACAAGTAAATGTGCTGTGAAAGCAGCTCAAAACACTGCAAAAAAATAGTGGAAGCATCCTGCCTGTGACTTATTATCTTAGATTTCAGCTTGGTAAAGTTTGGAAATAGAAGTGTGACTTTTAACCTCTTTGCCTCAAACAGCACTTGGAGACATGCTCCCTGGGCACTGATTCCCAGGCCACACAAGTCTGGTAAGATGCTGCAAGTCTATGTGGTTGTTGTGCCCCACCATGTGCTGCCCACACCCTGCACCTCTACAGCCACTCAAGGGGGAGCCAGGGCCCGCCACATCCCACCTGGGGCACATACTATCCTGGCCACCTCCACAGAGCTCCTCCAGGGAGGCAGTGCCCAGCTGTGGCCAGGTGATCCCTTGATTACAGAACAGAGGCTGCCTGGGGTTAAAGGCAGCCTTCACTTTCCACTGGAAACACATTGACCCGAAGAATACCCCTCCATCACATCAGCATGCATTCAGAGAGCTCCTCTGGATGGGCATATTGCACAAGCTAGGCATAACTCAGTGCAGGACTGCCTCCAGATTTTACTGCTGCCTCTATACACCTCACCCAGAGTTTTGCCACGGGTGAGCAAGGTGGTCAACTCAGTGTGCAGGGTCAGAGCTCCTGGAATTACCCAACGCCATCAAACAGCACAGCACATGGTCTTATTCGCCACAACACATCCATATGCATGTGAAGATGTACGACAGGTGTAGTTGTATGCACAAATATTCCTATACCTCCTAGGGAAGTACAGAGCTAGATGCAGTGGTAGGGTGGTTTCACTCTTTGCTGAGGTGTACAGCAAAGGCTTCTCCATGAAATGGGATACCAGGGTAGATTATCCCCTGGTCTGCTTCAGCACAGCAATCTTGCTGTATTGGAACTGTGCTACAAACAAAAATAGGTCATTCTCCTAGGGCCCTTAACCCACTTGGGACCAATCTTTGCACATATAAGAATTATCTACATCCTTTCTAAGAGGAGAGGAAGGGCAAGAGGGATGCAAAAAGCATGTACGTGCTGACAAAGGGAGCATCTATATTTTGCTAAAGAAGAGGGAATTAATTATTGATTCAGCTGGACTCACACATTGAACTTGCTTGTCTGGAGTCTGTGTGCTTCCGATGCTGGCTGCAAAGCCAGCAGCCTGCAGAATCACATCCTGGCGTGGAGCGCCAGGGCTGCCTGGCTGGCAGCTCAGCACCAGCTGTGTCCACAGGGCAAGCGTCAAGGACAGCCACGGTCTAGGTTAGTTAAAGATCACATCAGCTCCAGCCTCTGCTTCACACAGCCATCCATCTTACAGCCACAGGAGTCTCAGTGGACTAAAATAAACTGGTTTTCTACTACTTGTGCTTAAACTAAAGTCACACTCCTTAGTCCATGAGGTGTGAAAAGGTGGCACAGTGTACTTCTTTCAGTGGAAATGTCTTTTAATAGTGTTAACCAGGCAGAGCTGGAGCTGAAAGTTGATCAGATGGAAGTTATGTTTGTACTTAATTTCCTAATCTCATTTACTCTGGAAACAATCCTGCTTCCCAGGCCCACCCCATGTCTGGGTAGGCCCTTTGTAAAGATGTGTTAGCATCTTGGGTATGGGAAAAAGGGATTCGGGGTGATAAAATTCAACAGCCTACCCTGGAAAGGCATGTTGGAAGAAAATGCACTCTGAAGACTGAAATCACCTCCTGAAGAAAGACAGGAAGACCTTTTCTTAGTGCTGACCCAGCCTCAGCCATTCTTAGATCCTGCCAGGTGCCTCTTGGTCTGTTTAGAAGGAGCAGGTTAATGTTCCTCCAGTTACACCACTGGGGACTACGGACATACCTTCCCATCAGCTGTCTATGGCTCAGCTAAAGTTCAAGGACTGTGCATTCAGTGTGGATCTAAGAAACTGGGGTACCTCCTCCTGTGATTTCTGATGCTTCCCAACCCAGGGAACTTTCTGAAGACAATGTGCACTTGCTCTCAATGAGCATGCTGGCTCATCTGGCTTTCTCCCTGCCAATACATAAAATAAGGAACATCTCAGGTGTTCTTTGTGACTGCACTGACCTCTGTGACCAAGGCAGTGTCACCTCAAAATCACCAGGTCCATCACATCCACCTCCTTTCTGACTCGCTGTACTGGCCCCACATGGCCAAAATATAAACATATTTTAAAAACAAACCAACAATCAAAAAAACACCGCCAAAGAGTCCGAATGACAGTAATAGCAGGTTGGAAGAGGAGTTGAAAGTTGAGGTACTCATTTCTGTGACAAAAAGCACTCTGGGATTGAGGAATGATTTCCAAAGGGTGCAAACCTCACTGATTTTGTTGATTCATAAGTCAGCTGAACAAAGCACTGGGGAACACAGCATCCTACTTCAACAGTGGAACAGTCCATATGACCTGCTAGGATTTTTCCCTAGTTTTGGAAGGCTAAATCCTACCTTACCCACGATTAGTGGGAGTGATGATCACCTGCTTGATGGCTCTGTGAGCATGGAAGAGGTCCAGGCTGCTGCTGTGGGGGCAGCTGGGTTATAGGCTAAATGTCGTTCTCCTACATTTGTCTCCTCCTCACCTCCTCATGTCTTTAGCAGGTTTGCTCAGTTCCTAAGAAAAGTGCTTTGATGTTCAGTGAGATACTGAGCTGTAGCATATGTACCTTTTATTCTTCTTAGCAAAAACAGCTGTTAGAAGTGCCAACCTGTCATCTTGCTCCTTATTTAGTAGGTGCAAACAAACAAAACTATTTCAGAAGCAAAAATAAAGAAAACCCTAAACGTGCTCAAGGAAGAACTTATGGCAAATTGCAGGCAATGCTTCAGCCACATAGATAGCATTCAGCTGCTGGAAAATCCCAAGGAAAAAGTCTGGGGTACATTACATAGGTGGGTGCAGACAGAAGCAATCCAGAAGCTCTGCAAATCCATGTGGAGTGCACAGTCCCTCAGTGACCTTTGTGCGGGCACAGAGCCACGTCCTGGCGGCCACATCACTTCTGGACAGACTTGCATGCAAGCATCCCACAAGACAAATGAAGCCAACTTCATAGAATCACAGAATAATAGAATGGTTTGGTATGGATGCCATTCACTAGATCAGGTCACTCAGGGCCCCCCATCCAGCCCGGCCTTGAACACTTGCAGGGATGAAGCATCCACAACTTTTCTGGGCAACCTGTTCCAGTGCTTCACCACCCTGTGAGTTAATGAATGTCTTCCCAACATCTAATCTAAACCTGCCCTCTTTCAGTTTAAAACCATTGCCCCTTGTCCTGTCATTACCTGACATAAAAGTCTCTCTCCCTCTTTTTTTATAAGCCCCCTTTATAGTACTGGAAGGTGCTATAAGGTCTCCCTGGAGCCTTCTCTCCTCCAGGCTGAATAACTCGAGCTTCCTCAGCCTGTCTTCATAGGAGAGGTGCTCCATTCCTCTGATCATCTTCGTGGTCCTTCCATCTCTCCTTGCCTTTCCTTACAGTAAGGAGCTAACCTGCTAGAGCCATACGGACTTCCTTTCACAGCCAAGAAGGGCTTTCCCTAGTATCCAATGTGGTATAGCCAAAGCACAAAGTCTCATTTGTAGGCTGCTCTCTTCTCCTCCTCAGGAGGTGAGGGTCTAAGCTAGTAGACCAGCTACATGACAGGGCTGGCACAGGAAAAGCTGCCCAGTTCTGCAGGGTGCAACTAAGACCCACTCCACATGCTACAGCATGCTATGGCCAAAAAACCAATCTGCAGCTGGAGACCACCAGCTCACCACATTTCACTGCGCTACAAGGGAGAAGAAGAGATTCAGACCATGACCAGTTTCCTCAGTCTTTTCAGTTTTCAGATGATCCTTGGAAATGGGCCATAGGATGAAAAACTAAACGCCTTCTCATCCCTCCACACTGACCTGCAGGAGAATTTCCTCCTCATTTCAATTGTGAGAATATTTTTAACCTCAAGTCAATGAGCAGGACACATCACATGAGCTCATTTATGCCCCATGAGATGTGACTGCTATTTCACCTGCTTCCTGATTCAAGCCATGGCACTTGAAGACAGACAAATTTACCCCACTGGCCAAATTATGAAATCGCAGAGAATTTCATCCAGCTCTTTCTAGGAATCAACAAAGCTCTGAAGCAGAGGGATTAATAATACATGAAAACAACCAGTCATCCAACTTCATTTCAATTCCTTTATATGAGTCATTGCACCAGACCTTCCAAACCTAATTTTCAGTTTCCAAGAATCTTCCTCATTAATTTCCAATCCTTTCCATAAGCTTATCAAACTGCATCTTAAAACCATTTATGTTTCTTGCCCTTACTAATAAATTCAGTCCTGTAATTCCTAAAGCGAATAAGAACCTAATTTCTCCCCAGAATATGATCATAATCAATTTATAAGTATTTGATCTTATAATTTAAAAACATTGCTAACTCTGCTTAATACTATCCCTCACCACCACCTCACCAAATGCAATGAAGAGCAGGAACAGAAAGGTACAAACCCCACAGTTTGGGAAGAAAAAGCCCACAGCAGTAGTCTGGACTGCATCAGGGCTTGGATGACTAAATGTAATAAAAAACAAATTAGTACAAAGTGTCAGAAAAACAAATGAGTTTGCAACGCTGTGCAAGACATCAGGCATCAGCATTTAGTTCACTACTGTCACCTCAGAGACTCAGTTTATGCAGGACTGATGAAAAGAAAGGGTAACCAGCACCTTCAGCATCAGAAGCCTTTGTTGGAAGCTTCTCACCCCCAAAAAATACCTGTGCGTAATCTTGCTTAGCTCTGCAACTATTTGAAGCAATGATTATTCATCATGATACAGGTGCTGGTTACCAATAATCTGCTTGAGTACTAACTTTCCGTTTTCAGTTGTTTCCACAAGAAGAGCAAATGCCCAGTTCTGCCACTCAGCTTTTTGCACCACCTGGCACTGCACTGCCTGGCTGTGGGGGTCTGCACAGCCTTACCTTCATAGCATGCACCACAGCCTCTGGCTTCTGACCAACAGGGACATACCCTGTTGCAGGAGAAGATGCAAGATCAGATGTCATGCGACCCGGTCCCTGTTGAAATAAGAAAAGATATGCTTTAATTTTTTAATATCCAAAAAATTTGAGCACTGGTTTGTCTCAAATTCAATCCCCTTCATCGACCTGCAAAGACAAAAGACACCATCACCCCTTCCTCACAAGCCACTTGATTTAATGCCACTTAAGCGTACCATCACTCAGTCTAGATGTATTCAGGCAGGAGATCACCCTGGTTTAAAGCTAAATTGATTCAAGAAACATTTTTTTTGCTCCCTTAGGATAACTTTGTACAAGGACAAGATCAAACACTAGTCATCCTTCTAGACAAGGGAGTAAGGCAAACGAGATGATTTTCCAGCTTAAAACAGTCATTTCTAAGAAGCTGCATTTATGAAAGAAACAGTTGGCATAACTTCATTGCTTCTCTGGCAACGTTTTCCCATGGACATCAAGTACCAATCTTCAGCTACAGAGAAAATTGTGAAAGCAACCTTAAAACAAGCAGATGTCCAAACCTAATGTTGGTTGGATTTGTTTCCAAAATGCTGGCCAGTCCTCCTGCATGAAGGGTCCCATTGGGAAAGATGCCGAAATTACATTCTACAAAAGATTTCTTGCTGTCCAACCAGCCTTGTAAGCACTTTTCATAGGGCTTTCCTTTTTTTACAGGCATCCAGTTTGGATTATGAGAGACACAATATCTTTATTCAGTGAGATGCACCCTGCCTGTCCCTAATATTTTTGCATTGCTTTGTAGCACTGGGAGAAATCAACAATGAAGTCATTGACCAAACTTTTATTTAGTCTTCACATCCTTTAGGAAACACAAAGAATTATTATACTTGGGGGCCTCTGAAAGCAAATTAGGATGGCAGAGCGGCATGTAGCACCATCCCAGGAATGCTTTCACATACAACACACGAGACGCTCAATTCTCGTCTTTTCCCTGTTTAAAAACACAGCATGTTTTATGCTTTGTCTCATCATTTTGCCTTCTATGCAAGCTAGCTATGCCAGAAGAATCATAGAATAATAGAATCATAGAATGGTTTGAGTTGGAAGGCTCCTTAAAGGTCATCTAGTTCCACCCCCCCTGCCATGGGCATGGATGCCATTCACAAGATCAGGTTGCTCAGGGCCCCATCCAGCCTGGCCTTGAACACTTGCAGGGAAGGGATGGAGCATCCACAACTGCTCTAAGCAACCTGTTCCAGTGCCTCACCACCCTCACAGTAAAGGAGGACCAATGGAGGGGCACTTCATCACCTCTCATTCTTCCAAATGTTTTAAGTTGTAGGGGCCTTTTTACCAATAAAAGTGTTTGTGTGCATATATTAAAGAAAAATATGGGTTAATCCATTAGGCTACAGACAAAAAGGCATGGAGCTTTTCAAGCCCTGGCCACTGATCTGTGGCCACATCATGACCAACAGCCATTTACTCAAAATAGCTTCATGAACTGATTTGCTGGTGATATAAAAACTTCCTTCTGAGAGGAAGGCATCTCAGAAAAAGGAAAGTTAGACTTACTAATCCCACAATAATTCTCCAAGGTTATTTAACAGATTGGGAAAGCAGAGAGACCCAGAGACGCTTACATGGTTCTGGACCTGCTGGCAGAGGGTTACAGCTTGTTGGAGCTGTGCCCACCTGGGGATGTGTCCTCAGCAACCCCATCCATAACATCACACAGAAAAGGCAGAGGCTGGGGACGGAGCACTAAGGGCTGGATCCAGCCAGTCCACAACTGGCTGCAACTTAAGACTGCAAAATGGGTTAAAAATTTCTCACAGGGCTGGTAAATGCAACAGAGTCCCTTCAGAATCAGCATCTCACAGAGGTTAAAGACACCAATACAGGCGTAATACTCTGATTTCATCATGAAAGCTGCTTTCTTTCCAACAATGACCAGAATCGTGACAACTGAAAGCAGAATATTCACGTGTTTGTGGCCACTAACCATACTTGATATGGATCTTCCCCCATGGCCCTTTTCAGAAGTATCACAGGAAATACCAAGGAAAGGTCTAACATCCAATATTTCTTCGGAGTTGAGAGTAATTTGACAAAGTAAAAGGAATTCTGTTGGATACTGCTGCTGACAACATTTTAAATACAGTTTTCTGGCCAAAACAGAGTAGATCATGAAGTCTCCTGTATGACAGGCAGCACTAGCTTCTCCTCACAGAATTGAAGTCACTAATGAGCTACAAAGCACTTCTATGATCGCAATCACTCTCAAAATTATTACAGAATACAAATGAAACCAGAATGATTAGAGAGAAATGTTTTCTAAAGAGCTTGATTGTACCTAACCAATCACCATACTGACAAGATAAAAGTAATCCTTGCAAGCACAGTGATGCACTGGATATATTGTATCACACAAAAAACATTCAAAGGGTCATCTTTCTTCTCAGACAAGTGGTTGAAATCACACAAGGCCAATCAATTGAGCAGCCTGTGAACACAGGTAGAGGATTTGACTGAAGAAGGGAAAAATAATGTTAAAGAATGAAGGATGCAGCAAAAGAGGTAGACCCAAAACTTGCAGTCAGAGTCTAAGTGACAGATTACTTCATTTCTAAAATAGGCATGATCCTTGATCCTTAGCTTGGAAGCCAAAACCCCCAGCCAACTGAAACAGATGTCCAAATTGCTGAGTGCAGTCGTCAGCAACGGCAAGTGCACCACACAGCCATGCCACTGCCTGCTGTGCCCCAAGCCACAGAGACCTCACCACCGTGCCAGGCTGTTGCTACAAAAGGCCAAACATGCACACAAAAAAAATGGGGGAGCAAGCAAGGATCTCACCAACATTCCTGCTCTTTGCAACTGTAGGATGCAACCAGAAAAAGCAACCACCATGCTAAGGCTGGCTTAATATTTATGACTGCACTTAGTGTTTTTGTGCAGCTGCGCCCTTAGGAAAGGCTCCTTCTGGAGACACAAGGAGCTGGCATTTTTTAAAGGGGGTTGGTGCTTCATTCCCACTGATTTCAGTGTGGTCCACAAAAAAAAAGCTTCAGCCAGACTCCTATCAGTTTCCTGCACAGTGGCACACATAAAGGAGGCCAGAACAGACAGGACTGCAGTCAGCAAGGAAAGAAATGACAACATATCCAGCAGGATGCACGGCCAGCCTTTGGAGGATGGAGGAGAGGAAAATGGGCAGAGTTCACCGAAACTGTTAGCTGAAGGGGAGGAAATGGAAGGAATTGGAGATAAGGTCAAGGTTACTATACTGGAAAACTGCCAACACTGGGAGAAGGGAGGGAATGGGAAGAAAGAGGAGGATGTGTATTTTGCCCAGCAGGAAACCAGCTGAGGTGAAACTCAGGGGAGAGGGAACCAGAGATCAGAGATATGAGATTGGAAGAAGAGCAGAAGGGCAGAGGAAATCTCAAGAAGTCAGCATTAAGGCAGAAGGTGAAATTGCACAGATGGAGGGGATTCCTCATGCCTAAAACAGATGCATTTGGAAACTGGGTAAGAATTACCACAGCTGCACCCCAGCACTCTAACTCAGCTAATCTGAAGACATCCATCAATGCAGAAACCCATGCCCTTCCTGTTCCCTATAGCTGACATTTTCACAGCCATGGGAACACAACTGACTCAGCACTCTGACAGACAATAATAGCAAGGTTAATCTGGTTACATCCCAAGAAGAAGAAATTGTCCATATAGGCAAAAAGCAATATGGTGGGTTTTGGGGCATGCATCACTCTCAGTTTCCTCTCCCTGTCTGGTTACCTCAAAGACACCATCTTTGTATGGACATATGGCTTTTCCACTTGCTAGGTTTTCATAGTGTTTGGTAGCTCAGAGATGGTTCAGTCTTCAACTTCAGACATGTGGCTGAGGCACCACATAGTTATATAAATGAATGGTGCTACAAGACAGCTCAGAAATCACCAAAGAGGATGCCATTAAAATTTATAATAAAGTTGTTGAGAAATAGCATACCCCTTTCTGCTTCAGCCACAGCCACAGTCACCCCACTAAAAAGAAGAGCTGCTCAGTGGTGAGATCACCAGTCTAATTAAGGTGGGGGGAGGGGAGGCATCCAGGTCAGGACTCCGAGCTCCAAAGCACTTGGAGCAAGCACCTGTCTTCCCTATGCACAGGGTTTGTTGACCACTGCACCCTGAAGGCCCAAAGATACTTCTCCAAGATACATTTTAAGTAGCAAAAGTCCTAGGGAAGCAGAGGCTTGGAGCCCTGTGTGACCCATCCAATGCTTCTTTGGCAAGTTGGTGCTTTTGCTTCTCTGCAGATCACTGTGGCTGTTCAGAACATTCAAGACTGTTGTAGCATGGATCTCTGATAAGTTCAGCCCTGGAAACAACAGCCCTATCCCTGCTGCCAGGATGGTTCTGGGACTGCAGTGTCCTGAGAGGATCCTGGTGAAGCTTTTTGCATCCCTCATGGGAGGCCAGTGCCAAGTACCCCCATATTCAGGCCCCCTCCCACTGGGGAAACAGCAACAAGAGCTATTCCTTTGTGACCTCTGTGCAGACAGCAGTACTGAAGCACCACCAAACACATTCCCCTTTCAGCCCTTGCCTGCTCCTCCATTTCAAGCACATCAGTGCCAGATATTTGGTGGTATTAGTGATGGGACCAATGCACTTCTCAGAGCTTACTGTTCCCACGCGCCATCAGTCCCCTCCCCATTCCACCAACCCCATATTGTGCAAGCCCAAACCACAAATCCATCAGAGAAGCTAAATTCTGTTCCAGACCCTCCCAGAAACCTCTCACTGGAGCCTACTGGGCTTGTGGTTCAGCCTCCAAGTCTGTAAGGAGATTCACAGTCCAGCTGTATCACTGACTAAGAAAAGAGAGAGAACCTCTGCAGATTCTTATGCCAGGGCATTCTTGAAGCTATATGCTACACACAGGGGTAAGTTCCCCAGTTCTCTATTGCTAGAATGATGTTTGATCCACTGACAGCCTCCAATCCAAAGCAGAAAACAAAGCAAATCAAACTAGCCCCATTCACTGCCCCAGCCAAGAACCCAAAGTTC